CCACCGGAGCCTGGTTGCCGGTCCCTCGTTTCCTCAGTTCCCCATCCGTTTCTCAACGATAACCCCTGGCCTGAGCCTGGGTCCTCAGTCCTACTTCCTCCTGTTGACCCCAGGACTGGGCCCCGGGGCCCTTCACTTTATTGATGTTGATCCCGGCCCAAGGTCAGAGCCCCTCAACCCCCTTGCTGCCTCCCCACCTAAAGTCACCACGGTTCCCCCTGCTTCCTTGACCTCGACTCCCCTCCCAAGACTGGGCCCCAGTCCTTCATTTCCGCAGACCATGAGGCTGGGCCTTAGTCCCCTCTTCCCCCTCCTTCTTGACCTGAAGGCAGGAATCCCGCCCCTTTGCTTCCTCCACTTCAACCTCCACCCCACCCCAGGCCAGACCCCTCTCCCCCATTTCCCCCCCACTGATCCCCAAGGGTTGTAGTCCTGGTATCAGCACTGATTCCCTGGGTGGCCTTGGGCAGGGTGATGTGACCTGTTTCCTCTGTATAGGCCCCTTCAGTTCAGGAGCTCTGCGATTCCCTGATAAAGAATGTCACTTTTTTTTTTACAGCCATCAGGAGCAAAACTAAGCTACACACAGTCCCAGACTTGGGTAGGAGAGCATGATGGCCCAGGGAGCCAAGACCTGGCCCCTTAGGCAGCTTTTGGGAAGTAAAACTAAATATCTGGGCTCAGGTTTCAACACAGTTTTATTGGGAGGTTTTGTCTTCTGTGAAATACACTAGAGGCTGGGGAAGGGGACACATTCACTTTTGCAAGATAAGGATTTCCCACCACGAAGGGAAAGGAACAGGGCGGGCAGGGCACACGGGGTTTGGGTCCATTTTCCCACCACCTCCTTCTGCTTTGCTCACGTATCTTTCTCTCTCAGCAAGTACCAGCGGACACAAAGACAAGAAACAAAAATAAGATCAACCTCCAACGGGGCCACACCAAGTCCTCTCCCTTCCTAGGCTATGCTAGGGTGGCTAGGGTCAGGAGGGTCAGGCCAGGGTAGCCGCTCCACAGCCCGAGGCCACACCACAAGGCGCGGCTGAGGGGCACAGTGCTCCCTTCTTAGACAGGGTGGGCTGAAGTTAATAAATTAGAATAAATTACAGGGGTTGGATGGGGAAAGGAATGCAACTTTGTGCTAGGAGGGCCCCTTCTCTCCAACACGTAAGAGTTGGTGGGGGGAGGCAGGGGGCATCTCCAAAGGCCACTACAGTGGGGGTAAGAGCGGTGGGGGCAGAAGTAAGCTTTTCCTCCATGTTCTTCCCAAACAGAGCAGAAGAATTAGAGGTGGGGGGAAGAGACACACGCAAGGAGAGGAACTCTCTTTTCCCAAGATAAGGAAGGGCCAAGAAAGAGGATACTAACCAACCCCCATCTCCCAAACCATCACTAAGGTTAAGGATTTGGTCAGTGAATCAATGAAGTGGGTGACAGGAATGTGGTGGGGGAAGCAGAGGATGCTGGAAATAGGGATTCCCAGCCACGCGCATCTCCCCAGCCCTCAAGAACAGACTCGGGTTGGGGGAGAGGGCCGCAGGGGCTGGGGCGGGAGTCAGCAATCACTGGTCAGCTTCTCCAAAGACATCATTCTGTTTGCGCTTCATGTTCTCAAAGTCAAAAGCGGAGCCTGTCATGCGCTTGTAGATGTCTTTGATGTCATTGCAGGTTGTCTCAAAGTGTGTGGTGGCATCATAGGAGCAGGAACAGAACACCTGGAAACAGCCAGAATCCGGGGCCCGAGGTGAGCTGGACAGGGGCCCTGAGCACACAGCCAGGGGCCGCGGCCAGGACAGGCTGCTTACCTGGCTCTCGGAACCATCATCGATGGGCTCATACAAGTCACTGATGGCCACAAATCTGAGGGACAGATGGAGGGGATGAGGCAGGTCTCACCACCAGCCTTGCACTCCCCAATCCCCACCCTCTGTCTCCTTGGCTCCCTTCCTCTCCCAGCCCCTCACTTCTGGTCAATGGGCTCCAGCAGCTCCAGGGCCGGCTCGACCTCCTTTTCGGGCTCTGCGGTCTCCACGGTGGTGCTGGCGATGGCGATGTACTTGCCCTGCGCGGCCACGTTGTGTGCGTAGGAGATCATGCACACGTAGATGTCTGCCAGCCGGAAGGGCTCCGTTAACACGGGCACGTGGGGGGCTCCTCGGGGCTGGGCTTAATTCAGGCCCGCCCACCCCTCCCCAGCCCCACAGAGTGGGCAGCATCAAAGCTGCTGCCCTCACGGAGGGGAAGAGTCCAAGCCACCCAATTCTTAGGGCCTCCAGTCGCAGGGACTGTGCTGTGGGTCCCTGTTCTTCTCTGGAGGGATCAGGCAGAGAGCCAGCCCCAAGGCTGACAGGGAGAGGCTGAACCCCTCAAAGAGAATGCACTGGGCGAAGTCATGTGGGGCTTGGCCTACCTGACTTCCTATTGACCTGGTTCTGAGGAATGATGATTTGGCAGGAGTTGGCGTCATTGGTGTTCTTGATGGGGTGGCTGAGAATACAAATGATACGGATGACCTGGCCGGCCTTCCGCACACGGTCTGGAATGTAGCTGGGGTCACAGATCAGCTGCTTGCAGCGGGCCACCTGTGAAAGCACCAAAGGCCTTGTCCATATCCAGCCACACCCTGAGGTGTTCATGGGGCAGGGCCCACAGAGAGGGCTGGCAGCTCTGGCAGGCGAGACCACCACCTCTCCCACAGCTACAGCTTCCCCCTGCACCTCAGGGAGCAGCCCTGACACGCACAGACGTCTGCCAGGAGGAACAGCTATCTAGTCTCTTCTGGAGTTCTGGCTCGAGGCCCTCAGGGCTGAGTAGCAGCAGACCCCACAGAGCCAGGGTCACTGGGAAGAAAGCCTCTAAGGAGAAGGCCAAGCCCCGCCCAGGCCATCGGGCCTGCACCTTGGGGAGGGCTCACCTCTCCCTCGGACTTCACGCCCACCACCTTGCCATTCTCCATGATGATGTCGTCCACAGGCTTGTTCAGCATGTATGTTCCCCCGTAGATGGCACTCAATCTGGGACAGGGAGAGTGAAGGTGAAGGCGCCCTCCCAGGGGAACTGGAGACCAGTGCTCCTGCCCTGACTCCTACCAGCACAGAGGTGCTGAGAAGGCTGTCCCAGGCCGGCAGAGCTCAGGAGACCTGGTGGTTCTTCCCAGCTCTGTCACTGCCACAAACTCAGGACTGACTGTGAAGTGCTCCTTCCTCTCTGGAGCCTAAGCCCAGAAAACTCTGCACAGGGCTAGCACGAGGGTGGCATAAGGGTATGGCTCCTCCCGGAAATGTTCTGGGGAGCGGAGTGAAGGGCACCAGAGAACCCCCATCTCAAGGTTTCAAGGTTCTGAGCCCAGTCTGAGTGTTGCCTGACTCAAGCTGGGAGCCAAGCAAGCCTGTTTGTGGTTCTTCGACTCCAGATTTTGACGCCCTGCTGTGGTGCCATCACCTGAGGGTAGTGTAAAGTAAACCAAGACCACGATGGGAAAGTAGAAAATGCTCCAGAGATGCTCGAGGGGGCAGTTCCTGAACCTGGCCTCAGTCCCACTGGTACCGCCAACTGAAAAAAGCTACGCCCTCACCTTGCAAAGCCCTGGGGCAGCTCGCCAAGGCCGTAGAGCGGGTAGAGATAGGGGCTCTTGCCGTACCGGGCCAGAGACTCACTGTACAACTTGATACGGTTGATGGTCTCAAGACAGGGCTGGTCCAGGTAGCTGAGGGAACAGGGTCAGAGGAGGCTCCAACAGCAGGACCCCCCAGTTCACCCCCACCAAGGCACCAGGCCAGCCTTCCCACCACCCTCAATGGCCTGGAAAAGATTCTGGGTCAAATGCAGGGAAGAGACAGAAAAGGCAACAGGTGAGCAAGCATGTGGCTGAGAAGCAGTGCACGGGGCAGGCTGAGGGAGCAGCAGGCAGGAGCAGGGCAGGCAGGGTGCAGGCCGGGGGGGTGGTTTGCCAAGCCAGCTGCCCCTCACTCATCAGTGCGGTAGAGCGCCAGGGCGTGGCCAGTGAAGTCGATGACATCCTGGCCCAAGTCAAACTTCCGGTAGACATCTCGCATGCTGGTACTCTGGGGGTCGACGCCCTCGAAGGTCTTGGGGTCATTCTCATCAAAGTTTGCCACAAACACCAGAAACTTGCGGAAGCGCCGCTTCTCAAACATGCCCATCAGATCTGCGCAGGTGACGTGAAAAGAACCTTTGCACCACAGAACATGAACTTCTCCTCCCCGCCAGGCGGGCTGAGAAAGCAGGCGCCCTAGCTCCCTCTCTGAGCACCATGTGACCTGAGGTTAACTCCTCTGTGCTGCTCGGCCTCAGCTTCCCCATCTGCACCATAAGCCGGTGGGGCTGGACAGGCTCTGAGGCCCTCCTGGCTCTGACACTTGGGGATGCTTCACTGACCAGGCGGAGCCCCGTCTGTCAGAGGCTGATGTCTTCCAAGGCTGCCATATCCCCTCTGCGTGTGCACTTCCCTCCTGGCAACCACTGTGAGGCACAGCCCAGGACAGGAGAGGGAACACAGAGCAACGGGCTTCTGGGACTACCAGGGGGATATGATCTTGGGCAAGGAGCCCCCTGCTCTGAATGGCTGCCCCCTCTCCATGATTCTCTGCCTCAGGGGACCCACACTCACTGGAAGCCAAGGCTTCAGTCTCGGTGGACGGCACCTTGTAGATCTTGCCCCCTTTGTAGACAAAGCTGCCCTCCACCACCTTGAAGTCCAGGTAGCGCGTCACCTCCGTGTACAGCAGCATCTTCACCAGCTGCCCTGCGGGAGGTGCAGCGGAAGCGGCATCAGCACAGCTCCCTTCAGGAGCTCTAGCTGGTCTGGAGTGTGACCCCACCCTGTGGTCGTCCCAGTCACCCCCCACAAAAGCTCCTTTGTCTCCCTCACCATTGGCCATGAGGAATTTGGGGATCAGGTCAACGTTCCAGTCTCTGCCCCGGCCCATCGCCTCAGGGGGCCCCTCCAGCAACTGGAAACGCTTATACAGCTACAAGCAGGAGAGAGAAAAAGAGACACCTCAAAGACCGCCCCCTTCCTCTCCCATCCCCCTGCCCACAGAAGCTGGGGAGCAGCTTGGCACCCTAGGCCAGAGGTGCAGGAGTGATGCGCCCAGGCCCCAACAGCCTACCTACCTCCTCCAAGGGTGTGATGGACGAGCTCTCGCCCCCGTAGTAGGGGTTCCGGTCCATGTGCAGCACCTTCTTCCCATTCACAGACATGATACCCGACAGGATACATTCCTAGGGGAGGGGTGACATTCGCTGCACTCCCACCCGCCCATGTTCCCTCCAGCAGCCCTGATGTGCTCCCCACCCCCAAACCCAAGAGGAGAGCAAAGCTAAAAGGACTCTACCCTGACGGACAGCTCCTTCCACCCCTGGCTGGTCACCTTGTCTAAAATTGGGGGAGATGCTTCATTTTACCATGGTTTCCTTTTATAACCTTGTTAGGCAAAACAGTGAACAAGGAGGAGAGTACCCAGCAGACCCACACCGGGCCTTCCAGCAACCAAGACACCAAGAAAAGCACCTGTCTACGGAGAGCCCTACAAAAAGACAAATAACACACAACGAGCCGGAGCCGCAGATAAGACCTATCTGGACAAGGAAGGGGACCCAAAACGGAAGTGAAGAAAGGCTCAGCAGGCCTCAAAATCACAGGCCCTACCCTAGGCTGTTCTTTCCTCAAAGGCAGGAGCCCCTGACCCTGAGCCTTTCCAGCCTTGGGAGGGACTAAGGAGGATGCACCCCTCAGGGCGGCAGTCCATAGGGGTTTGGGGGAAGGTAAACACCCTCACTAGTCACTGTCATCAGCCCAAGGACAAAGGCTGCAAACAAATACTACTCAGCCTGAGGTCTCCATGGGAAACTGGGGTGGGGGAGCGGGAATGTGGTGACTGCCCCCACTGCTGCTCCTTCTGGAACATTCCCTGGGCCCCCTGAGAACCGGGGAGGAGGGATGAGGGCCCACCCTGGCGAGGCCCCCTGACCCGAGGTACTACAACATCCCCAACAGAATTAGCACAAGAGGGAAGGTGATGCTGGGCAGGCGATGGGTGGGGGCCTGGTGGGCGGGGTCAGGGAGCATCCAGAGACCTCGGACCAAGTCGGGGTCAGTTTTCCAGCTCTGCAAGCTGGGAGAGGGAGGACGGGAGGGGCCGGGGATCGGGGCCCAGGGAATCGGGGAGGAGGCGGTCAGAAAGGGGGCCACTTTGCAGACAGACCAAGGCGGTGAGTAGAGGATACGTCGAGGGGGAATGGGCACGGGGCTGTCTTTTCGGGAACCCGAAAGCCGGGGGTGGCAGCGCCGCGAAGTCAATGACGGGAGGATGGGGCCAGGGGCTGCAGCATCGCTGGGAGGAGAAGGCGATGAGGGGCCCCGAGCGCCGGAGGCCGCACTTACGGTGAGGCCGGTCCCCAGCACGATCACATCATATTCCTCATCCATGATCAGGCCTCGGTGCCAGCGCCCGTCGGCTCCTCCTCCTTCACCACAGCCGCCGCCGCCGCCGCCGCCGCCGCCGCCACCGCCGCAGCCACCGCCGCACTGAACCAAAGATGGCGGCGCACCGGCCGCCGTCCGACCCCTCCGCCGCGTCAAAGAGTCCCGGCCCCTCCCCGCCTCCGCCGCGCCCGACCGGGGCCACCGCCTCCCCAGCTGGCCTCCCAGGAGGGTTACTGGGACGCAGGTCCCTGCACCAGCACAGTTCCGAGGGTGGCGCCGCTCGCCAGGGGCCCAGAGGGGAGCGCGGCGGTGCGGGGCGGGGCGGGGCGGGCGGGCGGGGCGGGCCGACAGCCGGTGCTGCGGACCGCGAGAGATCCCTGCGCGGGAGCCGCGCGCGCCCCGCCCCTCGGGAGGCTCGGCGCGGACCCGCGGCCTGAGTGCGCGCCGCTGCGGCATCCCGAGGCGGCCCCTCTAGGGACATGGGGACGACCATTGTCGTGGCCGTCTCCCCTTCACGTGCCGACTACCTCTGCCCTTCCTCCACTCCTGCCCACCGAGCGCTGCATCCCCTCCCGTTAGAGGCCCAGCTTGCTAAAGACCCTCCCAGTCGTGGGGAAAGGCAGCCAGCAGGTCGGACCTTCCCGCCTCCCGCTTGGCCTGGCTAGGGTACAGCTACATCCGGACGTTTCCTTCCGCTGCCCTCAGCCCTCAGCCCAGCGCATCCTTGCGCCCAGCGCAGAAATAAGTGACAAGAGGCTCAAGCATGGCGACCGGTCTTTATTTTATTAGGAAGGAAACCAGGAGCACCCCAGGCTCCTGCCAGGCAATCCTGGCAAGAATATGCCATAAACCCAGTGATCACACCCAGCCCAACCTGAATGGAGGTCCTTTCCTTCTCAGGCCAAAGAAATAAACCCCACTGTACTGCTTATTGTTAGCACATCACCAAAAGACAATAATGCCAGCCAAGCAAGACAGTTAAATAGTACTTCCACACACCCCTCCCCGAACTTAGGGAACCTCCAGCTCCTGGCTACTGCAAGGAGCCCAATAAAGCCTGAGGAGGGAGCACTGGTTACACAAAAGCACTATAAACAGCAAGGGTGAAGGTGGAGAAAAGAGAATAAATAAGGAAAAAGGGGAAGGACGAGGGGGCTTAGAACTCACACGATTTTCCCTCACAATGACCAAGCCTAGGGGATTTATTTACTATCTGTTCAGAATATATACACCTTGTTGGTAGAGATGGGGAGGGGGCAGCCCAGGGGAGACCCTCAGCGGGCTGAACAGGCAGCCAGACAGGCCAAGGGGAACTGGGGACTCATGCTATGGTAGGAACAGGGGAAGCCCTTCTGTCCAGCACACTTTAAGGTGGGAAAGTGACAACCCAGACACCACGATGCCCTCAACCCCTCACAGGCGCAGGGTCACACAATCTGGGTCAGAGAGATAGTGGGGCCCTTGTGGTCGTCAAAACGGTCCATGGTCTTGAGGCTAAGAATCATGTGCAGGCCGTAGGTGAAGATGAAGAGCATGAAGAGGGAGGTGAGCAGCCCCATCCAGATGCCTGGGGAGAAGAAGCCGGCACAGTCGCTGGCATAGGAGAACTGTTCCCCCGTCACGTTGAAGGCCTGGATCTGGGGGACAGAAAGGACCGAGTGCCCCCACAAAAGGAGGCCCAGTGAGGGCTGGGGTTCCCAGGCTAGTGGGCAACCCAAATCTCACGGGATGGGCACTTCATGTGGACAGGACTCACAACTACATTCCTGAGCCCAAGGCCAAACCCAAAGGACACAGCCTCTTCAGGCCTCTGCTCCCTCCCCATTCTACCAGCCCTGCTATCTCCAGTCCAGGCTCCCTGCCCACCTCAAGGCTCCATCCCTCCCCATGCCGACCTGGAAGTCCTGAAAAGTGATCTGCCAGGGGGAGGGCTGTGTGCCAGGCACCAGGAGATCGCCGTCCTTGTTGGCGCCGCTGACATGCTCACAGCGGAAGGAGTAGATGCTGGGCCCCGTCACCTGGGAGGCGTTGAAGGCGGTGATGGAGCCGTTGCTGTGGATTTCGAGGCGCTCCATAGTAAACCAGTGCCGGGCAGACACTGGGTAGAAGCGGTTGGTCAGAATGAACCTGGTGAGGCCAAGGAGGGGTCAGGCAGTGGGAGAGGCCAGAGCCAGACCAGCCCACCCACACCTCAACTGCCTTTCGGACTCACTTGAATGTCACCGTGGTACCAAAGAGTTGTTCGTAGGTCAGTGCAAGCCTGCAGGGTCAGAGTGAAAGGTGAGTTTTCAGGCTCTGGGATGGCCACAAGCATCTCAGAGCAGCATCCTCAAGCCTACTTCTCCATAAGCTGTGCCAAGGCCTCACAGCCACCTGAAGAGGCAGCGTCCCCACTTGACAGATGGGAAAACTGAGTCCCCATCACATTCTAGGTCAGGAAGCAGCCAACACACAGGTTCCCCACCTCCAGCTGAGGGCTCCTTCCTCTGGTTCCCCTGAGCCCACAGCCCCTCCTTTCAGCTCCCCTTTGGGGTTGCTGAGGTGCCCAGGCTGGGCTTTGAGCCTGCTCGAGGGGGAGGCCTCAGGTTCCCAGATGATTGGGAAGTGTTCACAAACAAGGTCCCAGCCAAGAACTAGAAGGTATCAAGAGGCAGAACTCTAAGCAACTCCCACTCTAAGAGCCCTCCCATCGGCCCCACCCTGCAATACCACCTGCATCCCCATGGTGAACACCACCCCCAACATACACACACAGAGTGGCATGTACTTCGCCCTTACCTGGCAACAGAGTCATTCCAGAAGGAGCCAGTCAGGTTGAGATCCTGGACCCCAAAGGTGAGCGAGGTCAGATCCTCGTAGTGTTCCTTGTATGTCACCGAGAAGTTTTGGGCCCAGAAGAGGATCCGGGGGGCAGTGTCATTGTAACTCACAGGCGGATGGATCACAGCCGACACCGACTGTCTTTGTAGCAGCTGGCGACCTAGCCCCCCAGCCACCATGGCTACATCACGGGCTACCTGCAGAAACAGCCCACAAGCCTCTCAACAGCCCTGGGAGCAGAGCTTGAACCAAGTGGCCTGCCCCTGCCACCCCCACTGGGCACTCCTTTGAGCAACTGAAGTCCCACCGGTCATCCTCAAAGGCCCTTCCTTCAGGAAGCTTTTCCCTGTTGGCCCCTAAGCCTTTGCGATGTTCCTAGTCTCTCCAACTTGGGGACCTTTGGACTTACTGTCCAAATATGCCAGCCGGTAAGGCTGCCAGGGCTAGGTGGGAAGCTGCCACGTGGAAGGAGGAAGCAGGACTCTGCGATTCAGCCGTGTCCCCCAACACCTGCCCAGAGAAGCCGCCACCCTCTCTAGGCTGACTCATCCGCTGGCCTCTGAGCACTCCCACTGGGGCCCCGAGGAAGCACACATACCCTGGAAGGGCGGACCGCCGTGAGGGCCGCTGTGTATGGGACGTCTTCTGACTTGAGCATGCTCAGCACCTGCCCGATGACCTCATCTGAGGGGTAACGGGGAGGGCGGAGAAGCAGGTCACAGGCGGCCACTTTCAGCCATGCTCCCCTGCCCGTTAGAAAGTGTCTGCAGAGCAGAAGCCAGCAGAAGCCAGGCCAAGCCCTCTCCCACGCTGCATTGGTGCCCTCTCCATGGTGCTTGGTGGGATCACCTCGTCAAGGCAGGGAGCACCAGAAGTCCCCATCCCCAATGTGCAACTGGCATGTCGTCTGTGGTGGGCCATGGAGACCCCTGCAGGGCCAGCTTCCTCCACCTTCATTGATGTTTTCAGTTCCCACTCAGGGTCTTGAACAGCAGCTGCTTCTCATCATCCCACCCACCCCAGCTCCCCCACAACACCTGCGGCCTCAGCCACTGACTCCCTAATGCTGAGCCCCAACTCAGCAGAGGGAGAAAAGACCCACAAGTACAGAAAACTCCAGATCCGCCTGCAGGAAGTCTCCAGTGACCTTTTCATGAGGAGTGGCGGTCCTCTATAGCAGAGACTAGTCCTCAGAGCTGTTTTTTGAAACATTTCTGGTCTCTATGATTCACACTGCCTGAGTAGAAACTGGCTTTGCAGGCTCCACACAGAAGGCCCCAGAAAGCCCAATACCTCCGCCAGGCAGGGCCCCACTGGAGCAGGCGAGGCCTGGAGACCAGCATTTCCCTGCTTGGCTGCCAGCCGCTCCAAGAAGCAGGCGGGCTTCCCTGGGAGTGGGGGGCTGAGGACTATGGCCAGCTCTCTGCGGCCAAGGGCTAGGTGAGGTCAGAAACGTGCACCCTCCCTGCCCCCACTCACCATTGCCCATGAGGACTTCCTTCGGTGCCATCAGACCCGAGCTATGGAAGAGACGGCAGGTCAGAGCCCCAAATCCACACAGCTCCCTACCAGCCTAGGCTGCCTCCCATCCGTCCCTTTGCGTGTCTTCAGCTCTAGGCCGCCATCCTTCCCCAAAAGCCCCGTCACCCAGCTAGCTCTTCCCTCCAGACCTCTACTCACCTCATGGCCCTGCCTGGAACCCCTGGCCCCTCTACCCTGGCTTCCCTGTCCCGCTCAAGGCCCTGCCACCTGCTCCACGAGCAGCCCCTCGCTGGGCGACCTGGCTTCCCATCAGCAAGGCCCACGTCTGCCTCATCTCTGGAGGCCCGACAGGCTGAGCTCAGTGCTGGGCACTGAATCCTGAGTCACAGCCCTGCTGGAGGCCCTTTCCGCCTTTTCCAGCCATACAGGGTACCTTCCGGGAGGGCTTCAGGTTGCTAAACAGGAGGGCTGTTCTCCTTGGCTGAGTTGTGCTACCAAAGCCCAGAGCCTCACCCTTCTCTGGGCCCTGGGGCCAGAGGCTGGTCTGTACCTCGCTGTGTAGGGCAGATGGATGAGCAGCAAGGCTGGAAGGCTGGCATTGAGCTTCAGCTCCCGAAGGGTGGCCAGGTCCACGTGCAGGGGACTGGCCCCGAGCTTCTCCTGCAGGTAAGCAGTCAGAGTGCTGACCGCATACCAGTCAACGGCGGGAAGCACCAGAGACGAGGGGGCCAGGTCCAAGGCATTCTGAGAACAGGGAGAGGCAGGAGGATGAGTGAGCAAGGGACCAGCAGGCCTGGGCCAGCCCCCCAGAACTCTCTGGCCAGCCACAGCCAGGCCCACACAAGGGTCTCATCCCAGGTCAGTAGGAAAACACTCCACATCCCTGGCCCCGACACTAAGGCCTTTCTACCCCCTAAAGCCAGCATCTCAGATTCCTCAGAGGACAGTTCTTACTGTGCTGGGGGAGGGGCACAGGGTGGCCTGCAGGGCTCACAGCTGGGAGAGGACTCTCACCTCCAGGTTAGAAAAGGCGCTGTCCTGCTTGTTTCCAAATACACCACCGTACGCCGTGAAGTCCTCGATGCTCAGCTAGTAGGGAAGCAGGGAAGACAGCCTCAGAAGGCTGGGCTGGGGCCAGACGCCTTCCCTGTGCATTTGCAGGGCCAGCAAAACCTCATTTAGAGTCACGTTTAGTCTGGGTGAAAGAGTGAGCGACAGTGCATGGCGGGGGAGATGGGGAGAAAGGCTCTTTCTTTCCTCTAGCATCCCCTCGGCGGGCTGAGCGAACAAGGAAGGCAGTCACGGGATTGGGAGGAAGTCTGTGCACAGCTGACTTGTGGTCACCTCAGGAGTAAGAGTCAGCCGCCTGCCTACACACAAGAGGAAGTGAGGAGGGAAGAGGGAAGCTGCGGGGAGGGGGCTTGGGGGCAGCCAAGAGCATTTACCACAGGCCCCCCGATGGAAGCTGGAGAAAAGGAGAACCTGCAGCTAGAGCCATCGGTGTCCAGCCTGGGTGGGACCCTTTGCAAAGGAGGGTGAGAAGTCCCCTCCCCGCCTGGTTTTGGCGGCAGGGGAGAGAGAGGTGAAGATCTCAGGACATGCTGGAAAAAGCACTGAAGTCTTCTGAGCTCTCTGGACCACAGTCACACCGACGCCATCCCTTTTCCTCTGTGACCTAGATATGCCCTTCTAGGTGGACTTCTGCCCCTTGACTCCCAGTTTCCTCCAACTTTCCCTGGTTAGGCCTAGAGGGGACCGTAATCAGCTGCCCTAACCTCATCATGTTTAGTATACACACTTGCCTGGCCTCCTCTCCCTTCTGGCCAGGAATCCTGACCCTGTCTGGCCGCCTGGGCCCTCATTCTGACAGCCTAGGAACCACCACTGTGTCCTTGAGGCATTCCCTGCTCAAAATCACCCCAGGCTGCCTGTCACATTTAGAACTGCCTCCCCCCTCATTTCCTGGCTCCCTGGCTGGCTGTCTCCTAATCCTTTCTACCATTCACTACACTCCAGCCGCACCGGCACTTCCGTGGGCTCACCAGAGGCACTCCTTGCCCAGGGCTTTTGTACCTGCTGTTACCTCTGCCAGGAAGGCCCTTCCCCCAACAGCCACTGGGCTCCATCCCTCCCACCACTTCGGCCTCTGCTCAGATAGCACCTTTATCTTCGACAGCATCGACAGCATCGCCGCTCTGGCCCCTTAGCCTGCTTCCTTCCTCTCTGAGGACTACGGCGCTGACTACATCACATACCAGCTGAGCGTTTACCTGTCACCCTCACAAGAACATCAGCTTCTTCAGGGGAGGGCTTAGATCATTCTGCTCACTGCTATGTCCCCAAAAGTCAAGGCCTGCTACACAGCAGGTAGTCCACATGACGAATGAATGAATGAATGCCATAAGACAGGTTGATGTTTTACACAGATTATAAGAGCTGCTCCTCAGAGCCCCAAGGGAGGTGGTGTCTTCATCTTACAGATGCAGAAACTGGCATTTGCAGGTTACTTCATGTGTCTCAAAGTCAGTCAGTAGAACAAGAACTGAGTTCCAGTCTGATTACATTATTTACCACCTCCCTGAAGGACTACAGACCCACAGAGCGATGGAGCAAGACCACAAGGGCTATGAGCCATACAGGCCACCAATGAGGAACAGACAAGCAGAGGCTTGATAACCTCCCAAACACCCGTCCTACACTCCCCTGGAATCTTCCTGTGGTCTATATGTCTGCTTTGGGGACAGAAAGACCTGGGTGGGAGGGAAAACAGTGTGCTGGGTGTGAGCAGGTGTCCAACAAATTTAGACAAGAACCCAGTGTGGTGTGCATAAACCATGGAACTTCAGCCAATCCTTGTACCTCTACAAGTTTTAGCTTCTTTGGCAGTAAAACCAAAATAATGACATCAACTTAACATAGTGCAAATGAAGGACTCAGTAAGTGATCATTTTTCAACTACCTCTCTTACGATTGTTACAGTTAGAATCACAACTGTGCCACCCATTAGCTGTGTGACCTTGGGCAAGTCACTGACCATCCTTGGGCATCTGTCTTCTCATCTGTAAACAGGATCAATAATCTCTACCATGTAGAGTAGCTCAGATGAGGGTTTGGTACTCAGTAGGCATCTGGCCTCTGACCCTTTACTTCCCCTATCAAGTGGGTGCCATTTCCCAGCCCTCAGCATTCTCACTGAACCTTCTACAGGCCTTCTCAAGACAGGAGCCACACCTTCCTACAGTTGGGACAAGGTCACTGAAGCTTCCCTTGGGGAATGGGCCTCAGTGTCCTGGGGAGGAGGGGACCTGCCTGCCTCCTGATAACGGAGGGAGAAAGGGCTGGGACAGGCGCACCTTGTCCTGCAGGAACAGCAGCACATTGCGGGGGCCCAGCTCCAGGGCGGAGTCTAAGTAGGTAGAGAGCTGCATGTCGCTGGTGATATGGCCCTCGTGGGTGTCGGCCGCAGGAGCCCACAAGTCTCTGGCAAGGAACAGAAGGAGTGCTGTCAAGTGGGGGTGTATGGGTTAAAATCCGAAGCCCATGGGGTCCCAGCTTGATGCATAGGACCTAGACCTCTGACCCAGCCGATTCACTACGAGCCGCCGAGAAAGGGTCAGTCCCCCTCTGGGCCTCGCCGCCTCTCGCCAAGGACAGCCCCGGAGTTGGTCGAGGGCACCCAGCCGCC